CAGTACATGTTGGACAATGACAATGTTGAACCTAGTAAAAGTGATTGGAGCTCACCGTGTATTCTTGTACCAAAACAGGACGGTTCGTACCGATTATGTACAGACTTTAGAAAGGTGAATTCTGTTACCAAAACTGATTCATATCCAATACCTAGAATCGATGACTGTATTGACAACATTGGAAACGCGAAATTTGACAGTAAATTTGACCTGTTGAAAGGCTACTGGCAAGTACCGTTAACAGAAAGAGCAAAAGAAATATCTGCTTTTGCTATACCAGATGGACTTTACCAGTATAAAGTAATGCCTTTTGGCATGAAAAACGCACCGGCTACATTTCAAAGGATGATTCACTCCCTTCTTCAAGACCTTGAGGGATGCGAGGCCTACATTGATGATGTCGTCACATACAGCGACACATGGGACGAACATCTCCGAATCATGCGTGCTTTATTTGACATTTTAGCTAAAGCAAACTTAACTGTGAATCTTGAGAAGAGCGAATTTTGTCATGCTTATGTAGAGTATTTAGGTCATAAAGTAGGTCAAGGTTATGTTACACCCATTATGGCTAAAGTTGAAGCTATTGCAAAGTTCCCGATTCCTACAAACAAGAAAGAATTAATGAGGTTTTTGGGCATGGCTGGGTTTTACAGAAAATTTTGTCCAAATTTTTCCTCAGTTGTTAGTCCACTTACAAATCTTTTACAAAAGAGGGTTAACTTTGAATGGACAAAGGACTGTGAAAAATCCTTTCATAAAATCAAATCTGTCCTTATGAGCAACCCAGTTCTGTCAACTCCAGATTTTTCTAAGCAATTTAAGCTTACTGTTGACGCTAGTGATGTTGGAATCGGGGCAGCTTTGTTTCAAGAACATAGTGATAAGGTAGATAGAGTTGTTTCTTATTTTTCAAAGAAACTTACAAAATGTCAACAAAAGTATTCCACCATTGAAAAGGAATGCCTTGCTTTGTTGTTAGCCTTACAGCATTTTTATGTTTATCTGAATGTTACTTTGCATCCAATTCTTGTATATACGGATCACAACCCCCTGACATTTTTGCATAAATTGTCAAACAAGAATCAAAGACTGACTAGATGGAGTTTGTTGTTACAAGAATACAACATAACAATAAAGCATATCAAATGCAAAGACAATGTTATTGCAGATGCCTTGTCCAGAGTATCATGAACAAATTAGATTTTGTATTAATGTACATAACTTTTATTTTAATAATATAAGTTTTCATTGACATTCAAACTTTTTAAGGGGGGGTGTTGTGAGATGTGTATTGTTTCATTATGTATATAATTAGTAACATTAAGTTTCTTGAACATTCCAGAGTGGTCAACATGTTCGGTCATTTTATCTAGAACATTCTTAAATTTTGTGTATGTCCAGATTGTTTCAGTAATATCATGTTTTAACAATTTCTAGAATATTCTAGATTTATGATACTGTATAAATACCCTATCAATTCGATGCATAGATACTTTTTTCGTATAAGCACTATTGAGATATAACTGGGATATATTTTCACTGGGACATTGTGTGCAGCAACGGACACTCTGATGTATGTATTTTTAGATTCTTGCTAAGTTTATGTTTCATATACTTATTATATATTACTGTAAATAAATTATTGTTAAGTTTAAATTGTGTTATTGATCTTTGCTGGCATTTAGGGTTATTCTGACCCATAACACTTAGGGCCATTGAGCAGTGAGGGATCTTTTTTATGCCAACACTATAGTCTCATCCGAAGGATCGGTCTTCATGTCCCACAGAGAGATTCGAACCCGCCACGTAAGGATCAACTTCTTATTTTGCGACTCTAAAGCAGACGCTCTAACCACTGCGCCATTTGGGCGACCAATAAAGTTTGAGTTCAATCAGTATCCCCTACCCCTATTAAGGCGAATTTAGAACGGGAATAATTAATAAAATACGTTATAATTTCTTAAACAAAAGTATTTCTGGACGAATTTAAAATTGGGCAAAAATGTATGCACGTATGAAAGATTGAAAATAAAACATAATAACCCTGTATACAGTAACCTATTAATTTTTATGAAAGAAGTCGGACGAAATTCGACATTAGAGAAGACTGTTTGACACGACTAATGTATGGTTTTGACGTATATACTGTAATGCGTTATATGCTTAATTACGAGGGCTGTTCAATAAATAATGTCCTCGGTGCTCGGAAAGAAGCAAAAGAAGCTTTTCAATGTTTTAGTCTTCATGATTTTACTTTTTGATCTCTTTTAATTAAAACTCATGTCCGTAACATTTTTTTATCCAATTTCTAATTATTTTCAGAACTCATTTTGGGGTATGACCCTTAGTATACTGGAAAATAGCAAATCTAATGATTTCCTGGGGTTGTTTCTTCCTTCTGAAAGGTGTTTTTTCAATTTTTAATAAGAAACAAGTCAAAAGGTCAAAGATTTGGCGAATATTGTTAATGTGAAAAAACATTAACTTTCTGTTTATCACGAAAACCCCTTTACTCTTCAGGGCGTGCGGGTTTGGATGCTGTCATGAAGAAATTTAATGTAGTGGATTTCTGATTCTTTGTCCTTCCTCTAATAAACCTTTTGTGTTCTTTTTTTTTTTGCAAAAAAATTGCTTTCTAGACTCCTCCAGAATTTAAACTGTCTCCTCAAATACGAATTTGAACAACAATATTACTAATATTCAAGAAAATTGCATATAAATCTGTCCTTGTGCTCTTGCATACTTTTTGCTCTTATCAGACCTTCGCTGTTTTTCTCAAGTGCATCTTATGGTAAATTTTGTTTTGAGGGTTTTAAGCAATATACTAAAATTCCATTATCTGTTTGAATATCAAAAAAAAAAAAAAAAAAAAAAAACCGGATAACTCCAATTACTAATTTTTTTAAATAATTGTTAAGACATTCATACACGCTGTCGTTTTCACTCGTTTTTCAAAATATAGGATGATCTTTGAGTACGAAGCGTTTTTACCGTCAAACGTTTCTTAAAAACAGTGTAAACTACTCCCGATATGATTCCTATCAAATTTGCTATGTTTCTTAAAGTCAATCATACATCATCAAATATTATTTGTTGAAATTTGGGAAAGAGTACAGAAGTTGTTATAATTTTTGTTGGCAAGGACGGTACCCATTTTTGATGCCCATTATATAATATTTTATCAAAGAAATCAACCTGCTCATTTGTCTTTAAAACAGGCAGGTTGCTGTAAATTTTACATATTTCGGTGAATATTTCTTTGGGATTTTTAACAAGTTTTACAGCAGCTTTAATGAAGCTTTTATTTTCACTCTGGTTAACTAATTCTTTACCACTCATTTATAATGCAGTGTCTCGAATAGTCCTTGTTTCTCAGCTTCTCTAGATGAAACTATGTGATGCAAAGTGGTCACATAAACTTATGAAGTCATTAAAGATTCCATAATAAAATAAAGTCAAGTTTAATGTCATATGCTATCTGTATTGTATGTCATACAGGTCAGGACATTATTTATTGAACAGCCCTCGTATGAAGGACCGTCTGATAGCAAACAGTTTATACCTGCGTATTTAAATATTATTAAATACTATAGAGACTGATGATCAGAAGTTGAATTAAAATAATCTCCTTTATAAACCCAACTAAAATCCATCAAAAATGTGTGCTGCATGGTTCAGTCTGATGTACAGGCAAGGCCATCTTTATACCACCTCTTGCCTGCGGGTTATAAATGTTGGATCGGTAGGTACATGTATATGGGTAAAACTTTTTCCCTAGAATTTTTACATTGACAGAATGAGAAATTTATGGAATAAAAAGAAAAAAAAATGTTTCCTTGACCAGTCGGCAGGGGATGCTCACTCCTCCATGGCACCTGATCCCACCTCTGATGTTTCGGAGGTCCGTATTTGCTCTGCTCTTATTTTTTATATTGTTTAATAGACGTTGAGATTGAATACTGTTCATTATTTCCATATCCTTCTTCCTTGAGGTTATTAAAAAAGATTTGAGTCGAGCCATTTTCAGGCTGTCGGCCGGGAATGGGTAAACAGATGTTAAAGGATGGCCTTAAGCTTATTTTATGAAAAGTCAAAAATATGATACTGCAAACCTTTACCGAGAATGATTTATCCATATTTGTTATTTTAATGCATTATATACTAATGAAATCAAACCAAAAAAATTCTTGTAATGCATTAACTTTTGAAACATAAAAAAGCTTTTTTCAGTAGCTCCGGTAAAAAAAAGACATCCCGAGCATTTATAACATTGTGTGATACGGCCGTATCAGTCGACGTCGTGTGGTACAGTATCTAGGTATATATACTTATACAGTATAGAGATGTATGATTAGGCCCTATAAACTTGGTTGCCGTGTCGCAATACCGACAAAGCTTTGTTTACTTTTCATGGACTTGAAGAAAGCTTAAATATTTCTGTTGAGAGTAAGTAGAGAAGCTTAGTAAGTAAAAGTAGCATTTTCGGATTTTTAGTTTAAATTACCGTTTAATCTCTATCAACCGCCTCTGCCCCTATACACGCACCCTTAGGTCTTTTTAAATTTTCAGGAAATAAGGGCCCCCTGTACAGTGATTAGAATCAACTAGAATTGTATCAAAAAATTAAAGCAAGAGAAAATGAAACTTGTCTAACATCCAATTTCTCAATGGAAAATTATTAATTTAGCATAATATGGGTGGATTATCTTCACTTTAAGTAAAGTAATACATTATTGTAGTGGTTCCTTTTATTTATTTTTTTTTTCAAAAGTTTTTTTGAAGTTAAAATAAGACATTTAATATTAGAAAGAGAATACCAAAATAACCGCCCCTTTTTTCCAATTTTCTAAGCGCCAGGGGCGGTGAATAGGGATTATACGGTAATCACTGTTTGTTATCTTCACATTTTTCACTATCTATAACACAAATTTATAGGTATTTATCTTCTATCCCTAACACTCTTTGCTGCACTGATAATTATAACTGGGTCAATGTTATTAATAATGCAGATGACCAAGGCTTTTTTCTTAAAGTAAGTATCAATAAATTGTAGTGAAAGCACTGGAATTCGCAGAAAATATGGTCTGTTTTATTTTATCGGTGATCGTTGGTTTTGCATCGGAGTCTGTTGATTTTGCAATCGTGTCTTTTGATTTTGTATTTCTTTTTTTTTTTAAAATAAGTTGTTAGTTCTACATTAACGTTTTTTTTTTACCCTTTCCGCCGCCCATACCTTTTTGCTCTAAAAAGTATCAAATTTTGTGAATAAATAATCTAAGAATACTAAGCAATTAAATTTTGTCTGCTAGATAATTTTACATGACTAAAGCGCTGATTAAAAGTATTGTGTTGTATTGTTTAAAATAACTGTCGAATCAAGAAGTCTTTAATAACGTAAATCATCAAAATTCAACACATATTTAGATCCACGCATCTACATGCAATTATGACGTCTGGTTTGTACAAACTGAAAATAAGCTGAAAACAAAAGAAAAAAAACGATACGAAACATCTCAACTTTTTGCCCAACATAGAAAAACCTATTTCTTAATAGGGGTCCAAATGTATGTACCTTGTTTTTTCTTGAGTGTAATTCCTGTTCTTTGAATTTACATATCATTCTATTCAATAATTCTATCCGACAAAATATTATAAACTGTATAAGAAAATAAAGATAACCGATAATTATATATTTAATAATTGTTGAATAAGAATGATTGGCCTAAATATGCCTCGCAATTTTAAATAATTCCATGTTTGTCAATTTGATACAATTTTTTCCGAAAAAAAAAATTCTACAGAAATTGTGCATACTAGAAGTAAAATAAAAAAATGATAATAATAAATGTTTGACTATTTTCCTTTGTGAAAGATATTTTATTTTATATTATCCCCTACATGTGACCCATTGTAGCTTGTAAAAAGATAAAGATTTAAGGTTATTCCACCATCACAATTTTATAGGTTCATAGTACAAAACTGCTTTATTTTCATTTAATATACTTTAAACTTTACAATTTTTGCAAAAAAATGTATAGGTCACCATATTATTTAAGATGCGAAACATAAATAAATAGAAGTGTATGTCAACAAAAAAAATCGCACATTTTTTGCAAACAGTATTATGAAAAATATGTGAAAACTGGTTAAAATGTAAAATTCTGATGCTGAGTGTTCCTAAATACTTCCGACTTAAAAGATACTTTTGAATTGTGAAAATTAGGGAAACTATTTTACAATAAAGCAAATGCCTGAATGAAGAGACCTAAGAAGGAGTCATTGCCCTTGTCAACATTTTTTAAAGATTGAATAATTGATTAAATATAGAAAATATGCATTTATTCAATTCTTTAACTTAACAGTATTTATCATTACACCTATTGTAAAGTATTTTTACAAGAGATATTGTTCTATTAGATATGAATTTCAACTAATTAGAGTTTTTGCAAAAACCTATGACATCATAGGAGGGTGGAATTACTTTAATAGCATTTTTACAATAAGCTTCAAATCAAATCAACCATTTAAAACTTTACTTCTAGATCTTGATGTTCAGAACCGACATTGGCATTGTTTTGGGTGTTGGGCTGGCGATTGTTGTCCTATTTCTATGGATTATCTTGGGTATGTATGTGATTTGTATCTCTTCTTGAAAGAACTATTTTAAAGACAAGTTCTACCTGTATTCGGTTTTCAGCTGAAGATATTCGAAAATGTCGATTTCTAGACAAAATGCATACAATTTAGGATTGCTTGATTACTATGTTGTAATTACTAAAATGTATATATGTACTTTCAGTTCCTAGGATCACGAGATTCAAACCAGTGTATGTTAAATGCGACCAATTTCAAATGACAGTTGTTATTTTGGAAGTGAATGTTGATTCCATTATTCCTCTAAAGTGTATAAAACTTGAAAAGAATTTACATAAAGATTATTACATATCCATACCATATGCAGTTCCAAAAACAAAGAGGATTTTCCTGATAGATTCCGAATGTTACTATCAAAGATGCTTAAGATACAGAGTTAATGTTCAAAATTTTATATGGTCGGGGTACAGTGAAGAAATTCATGTTGCTTTATTCAAAGGTGTGTTAAACTGTAAATTATTGATTTAAACAAGTTTTATTTCCGATTATACATGAAACATATGGAAATAACGAGAAGTATTATAGATCAAAAGTCCATATAACGATACAAAATAAGAGCAGAGCAAACACTGACCTCCAAACATCAGAGGTGGGATCAGGTGCCATGGAGGAGTTAGCATCCCTTGCCGACGGGTCACACCCGCCGTGTGCACCTTTATCTTGATCGGGAAATAACGGAAACATCCGTCGTTAATTCAGTGTATAAATAATAGACTTACAATTAGTATGAAAACCATCAGTCAGCATTTGACTCAATGATAAATTGTTATTTTAATGCTTTATGTTGAAGCTTTTTTCCATATCAAAACACATAGCAAACAAATCAATGATAAACTGTATTAAAAAAAAATGTCACATGATGTTTATGTCATCCTCGATAATGATAGTAAACAGTTTTTTTTTTCATCATCCACTTTTTTGTACGTTAGATATGCAAGCTTAAGTATGCTGAAAATAAAAAAAAAACGTTTAATTTTATACACATTTCGGTAAACACATGGCCTAGTCAAGCAACAATGGCAGTGTCCTGACAAGAGTCGCTAATTCCATTTGCATACTGAATATGCCTCAAAATAATTATAGATGTTAACCGGATTGTTTTAGAAAATTACTGAATGTTTCATTTAAAATTTAAAATTGTGTCTCTATACCATTTTCTACCACATTTCTTTTTTTTTTTTAAATCCATTTACCGAAAATCGATTCAAAAGAAAATCAGGCAAAAGTATGTACATCTTTTATTATCACCATTAGCCCATTTAAAAAGAGATTTTGCTCGAAAGCTAACTGCCAGAAATTAAGACAAGGTTACAAAGATAACGCTTTTGGGGACATTCCAAGCCATTCTACACCTTGCACATTTTTTAATATAATAATATAAATGATATATTTATTTACGATTTTCAAGTCGGATTGTAATAAAAAAAAAATAAACAAATTTCACATTCAGTTTTTTTCTTATTATAATCATACAATGTATTTTACAGATCTTAACATTGATGACAGCTTTGACATAAAATCATTCTCTATTCCACTCTTGCCGTAAGTATTTTTGAACTTTTATCGCAAACAAAATGAAAATAACATTTTCCTACACAACCTTATAGAACAAATCGACTTTGTTTGGTTTGGTTTTGTTTTGCTTGTTTTTGTTTTTGTTTATTTTTTTAAATTTTATTAAAGTACAAATTTTCTTTCTTTAAGTGGAAGTTCGCTGGTGATTGAAAGACAACAAAATAGAGCAGCTAAAGTAAGTGGATTCAAGGAAATTGCGTAATAAATTCGAGATTATCTTTATTAAACTATTTTCAATTGAAAAAAAAATATTTACACCAGCAAATGCTACTAACTCACTTGTGAAGCCTTGAATCGTGTTTTTCGCTTTTTTCATTCAAGTTTTAAGTATTGATGTGTTTTTTCTGATTATACAACTATATATTCGTGTCTCAAATTTTATAAAGCGTTTTTAATACTTTCCAAAAATCAAGATTTGGTAATATACAAAGCAGTCAATTGTTAGTCAAGTATATGACATAAAAAAACAAACATAAAATACTATTCAATAAGAAATAAAAATTAGAAAATGTAACGTGCTATCTCTTAATAAGTAAAAATGTAATATGATTAAAGCCATTCACTTAAAGTGAGATCATTTAAAAAATATATTTGCTTCCCCTATCCTGACCGGTGTCGCATAATATTTGGTCCGCCTCGTTTAAAGGTCCGGCCGGACCTAATACGATATCATATTTGGTCCGCCTTTTATAAGAAAAGGTCCGGCCCGTATAAGAAAAGGTCCCCCTGCGTTTTAAGGTCCGGGTGGTGCAAAATATTTTAATCTTGACTTTAACATATGAAATTAAGGCTACCGGATAGTTTGTTTATACAATATGATGAAAGAAGGATTAACCCTGTTGTGTTTTATGTTTTGTACAACATACAAGTATCTCTAGACAAGAATCTACTCGTATAGTGTGCTTTAAGCAGTGCCGTTTAGGGCCATGATTTCTTTAAAAATCATGCCACAATTATTTTGCAAGTGTTTGTTTTTCTTTAGAATTTGCTTTTTGTAAATTAGTACGATTAAAGGTGTGAAATCTGTCGGTGTGTATAGCTAATAAAACAATGGGTGTGTGACGTATTTGTTTATCTGACAGGTACCTACCGTACCCACAGGTAGAGCCCGCGGCAGATGGCGCTGTCATTGAATGGTCGGTGAACCTAATGGTCATGTGTTAGCTTTACATATTAATAGATCTGATTTTTTAATTAATAAATTATGCCAAGGAACCAAATATTCAGGCGTACACTTCAAAACTGCGACATTTTTAATAATTATAACCATACATGTATAATCTTTATTTGAATATTTTAAGCTAAATATGGCGTATCTGAGCTAAAAATTAAAAATACAAGATTAAGCGTAGATTTACATGAGATTTGGTTTAATTTTATGTTCAAATTAAAAATTTCACCGATATTGAACTTAAATATCCCCACGTTTCTATTAGTTAAATTCAAACTAATTGAATTAAAACTGTGTCTGATATTTAAATTCCGAGTCGATAAGAATCGGCCATTGTTTTAAATCTCGGATATTTATGAAACGCGATTGATTTGAATTGTTTGATTTTCATAAAATGTTTAAGTCTGCATTCTATTTAGGATTTTTTTTGTGTGTGTTGAAATTTTTTAATTTTTATTTCCGACATTTTAAGTAAAGTGTTCATCTCCGACATTTTTCGGGAATTTGGTGCTTTCCGGTAATGAAAAATTTTAAAGAATAAATTATAGACTGTTTAGTAAATCAATGTACGGCGCAGTCTTTGACATTTAATTTAGTGAACATTAAATACGATGAAAAAATTGCATGCTCATTAAACTCTGTTAACTAGACTTAGTGCTTCATGTACAGATGTATATACAGCATGTATACAGAACTTTTATATTAAAAATGTTGTGTATAATAAATTCTTTGAAATTTCCATTTCTACATACATGTACCTGGTAAACATTAAATTGCCGGAGAGGTACCTTGCATTCCAGAAATGAAAAGAAATAAAAAGAAATAAATGTCAGAAAAGAAAAGACAAATTGTCGGAAATGAAATAAAGAAATGGCGGAAATGCCATGTCGATTTCCGGAAATGAAATGCAGCGGTCCTATCTTTACAGTGGTATATAAAGACCGAAACAAATAGAAAAATCTTTTTTTTTTATATTTTTAGTCTGAACATATAAAAAAAACGCCTTATATGACTCTAAAGTTTTTAAACGCAGTATAACATAAGGTCCGCCCTCTGTATTTCAGATACTAGTATCTTCATGTAAAGTGAAATTTTTGGACACGGTTTATTTTCGTAGCTTGAAAACTACAAAAATAGACAGGGCGGACCTTAAAACGCAGTTATCAGAAAAGGTCCGCCCTCTGTATTTCAGATATTTTTATATTATAAAGGGAAAATTTTTAGACATGGTTTATTTTCGTAGCTTGAAAACTAGAGAAAGGAACAGGGCGGACCTTAAAACGCAGTTATCAGAAAAGGTCCGCCCTCTGTATTTCATATATCTTAATGTCATAAAGTGAAATTTTTGTACAGGGTTTATTTTCGTAGCTTGAAAACTAGAGAAAGGAACAGGGCGGACCTTAAAACGCGGTTATCAGAAAAGGCCCGCCCTCTGTATTTCAGATATATTCATGTCAGAAGAGAAATTTTTGTACAGGGTTTATTTTCGTAGCTTGAAAACTAGCTAGAAAAATAGACAGGGCGGACCTTAAAACGCAGTTATCAGAAAAGGTCCGCCCTCTGTATTTTAAATATTTTTATGTTAGGGAAAATTTTTGGACAGGGTTTATTTTCCTTACTTGAAAACTAGAGATTAGAACTTTTTTAGTGTGCAGTGTTTAGAAGTTCCTTAATTAATATTTTAAGTACCAGCCTAATAGTGTGCAAATTTCCTACTTTCAGACAAGCTTTATAAATGTATTATACGTCTTTTGCCATTCACGCAAGTTTGTACAAAGTTAGGCTCATAGTAAACGAAAATTTTGAAATGAATGACAGTTCTCGATTTACTATTAATAGAAGATCACAAAAGTCGGCTGACCCCTACCACATTGTATGGTTTTGTTCTTTATATTTCGTGAATTTCAGCGTAAAAAATTGTTGAATGGTATGGTTTAGATATCAATTAATGATTGATCAATTAATGATTTGATATGAAGAGTTTGCTAACTTTTTTTTGTTTATTTTTTCACATTTTACCAGGGCCCATAAGTGCTTTCGTTCTTTGAATTTAAACATATTTTATTGATATAATCAATTGGATCAGACACAAGTTTTTCCAACTTAGAATGTCCTCTCCAACACAAACAAAGAAAAACAAATTTATATACACGTGATGAACAACAAATAAATCTACAATGCAAAAAAAAAAAGGGAAGAAAAGGGTGCAGAGAGATAAGAAAGGTAGGGAATAGGAGTGCAAGGAAAGATGAAAGAAGGATGGAGATGTAAAGGATACAGAATGGTTACGCTTACTGTTCAAAAAATCTTTTCGAAATTTTAATATACTTATGTACGGCTTTGACAATATTGATATTATTTTGTTGACCCAAGTTTGGGTCCCCAAAAAGAATTTTATCAAGGTCTATTTCTCCTTTGTTATTTTTAATAGTATGGAATAATTCTCTTCTTATTTCAGTATAATTTTTACAATAGAGGATGAAATGCTCAGTGTTCTTTTCTGAAATTGTGTCTCTTTAAACTCAAGCTCTTTATATGTAGAATATAGGTATACTTTAAAACTTTAAACTTTTTTGACAGGTATCTGCGTGATTTTACTACACTCCATTAACCCCCCCCCCCCCCCCAAAAAAAAAAAAAAAAACATTTAGGAGGGGGTATAAAATGTTCGGATTTTTATTGAAACCGAAACCGAGAGACATAAGTATAAATAATATATCATAAATGTAGTGCACAGAGAGTTTATATGAGCGACATGCATATTAAATATGAAAAATAAAGGCATAAATTATAAATCCAGCAATTTATCGAGTCTTAATTTGGTTTGATTTCGCCAATTAATGCACATTTACCTTTTTCCCGGAGTAATACTTAGTAGGCCGCATTTCATTTCCGGAATTTTCTGAACTTTTCATTTCCGACATTTTTAAGTTTTTACATTTTAAAAGTTTTCATCTCCGACATTTGTCAAATTCATGTCAGTACTTTTTCGTACATGAAAAAAGAATTCATGCATCCGTTATAAAAATCCTTAAGGTAAAATATTTTAGATAACTTATTCAAATAAAAGACTTTGCTCTTGTCAAAGAAACTTGATTGATTTTACCCTGGGACAGATGTAGGTACATGTATTGTGAATGTGAAGTTTCATTTAACTGATTCCTTTACTTATTAACTAGTCTTAATATTGTTTACTTCTACTACTACTACTACTAGAAGTAAACAATATTAAATGTTAAACTTAATTGCCGTAAAGGTATCCTAAAAAAAAATCCAAAAATTTGAGAGAAAAAAAGAAAGAAATAATGTCGAAAATGAAAATAAAATTGTCGGATTCCGAAATAATAACAAAAATTGTCGGCAATGTTAAAATTCAGGAAATGAAATTCAGAGATCTAGTAGATATAATAATTAGCCTTTGAATAGGTATTATTATTATTTATTAGATATTTCACAGTCAAGTTCTTCGAAAACGGCTGTATCGTCGTCACTCGGAATATCTCTGACGCTGGCATTAACGTTTGAAAGGTAAGAAACAGTGTTAACTTATAAAAACACAGGGGATATGGTACTTTAGGGTTTCTCAAACGCAACAATTATAGGCTAACCCCCAACTGCCCAATCCGTAGGCATGTTGTTTTTACAATAAGGGGTGTTGGATAGTAATCCGTGACATAAGCCCCTGTCACAGCTAGTGACCCTCCAGTTATTTACAACAACATTAAATGTAAAGAATGACAGATTTCTTTTATCAATACTATAAAGAAATATATTTTGAAAGATGTGAACTTCAGTTTTTGTGAGTGGATTAGTCAAACGTTTATCATGTTTATAGGAAAGAGAGTGTAACTAATTGATTCGTGTTGGACTTACGAACATTTATCTGTTCATTCAATGCTGATTAATCTGCCAGTAAACAAGGCGGTGAAGGTAAATGTATGTACATTTGTATTCTTAATATTTTTAATGATAATGTTGACATTAGTGTAATAATTTAAACGACAAGAGAAGCATGTCCCATCTTCCCGACAGGAAACCCGATCAATAAATCTATACATTCCTTTATTTATGTATTAATTTCGATTTCTTACTTATTGTTTACAACATTTTCTTGGAGAAAACACTAGCTATTAATACGACTATATATCCTTAATTAATTTTAAAAGAATAGTTTTTCAATTAATATCGAATGAACCACATGCATACAATTTGTATAAAAGGCCGAGGGCGGACCTTTTCTTATAGAGCCAGGCGGACCAAATATGTTATCGTATTTGGTCCGGCCGGACCTTTAAACGAGGCGGACCATATATTATGCGACACCGGCCGGCTAATTTGTCCCTACTCGATATTTTTTTATGTATTTTGGAAATATATTTGAATAATTAAATATTGAAACAGAAATAAAACCTTTCCTACCGATCGAACTGTTTTATTCTATATTTTTTCATCCTGAGTCAGGAGGGGGCAAAAACAATATTTTAATGTTGGCCTAGGCCTCATCTGTTTAATTATTCCCTTTAAAATGTTCGCATAATTTTTAATGCAGGACAGGGATTATGTGAATGAATTTCAAGAAGAACTGTATGTTAATACCAGAAAACGCAACCAGCCAAGAAAACTGTTACAACCACTACAATCCAGGCAATTTGGTAACTGAATTACTGGGCAGTTGGGAGTGGCAAATACTACAGTTTGAAACATATAACGAACAGTATATATTAAAGGTCAAAAGTCAATAAATCGATACAAAATAGGAGCAGAGTAAACACGACCCCCCCCCAAAAAAAAAAAATCGGAGGTGGGATCAGGTGCCATGGAGGAGTGAGCATCCCCTACTGACCGGTCACGCCAGCTTTGTGCTCTTTGTCACGATCGGGAAACAATGGAAAAATCTGTCGTCAATTCAGTGCAATAATAATAGACTTACAATAAGTATGAAAAACATTAGTCAACATGTGACTCAATGATAAATTGTATCTGCTTACAAGGTCATTGTACCGACTATAGAACAAACGAAATGATGACTTTAAACGAGACTGCTTAAATTCTTGTTAAATCATCTTAGTCAATAATTTACCTCGTTTTAGAAATTTTTCGTACGTAGAAACAACAAAGATATAAAGTTAATGAAAAGTTGACAATAAAAAAAATAAAAGTTATCACGTTTATCATAGAGCTTGGTTGTTAAATTAACATTATCATACCTCCATTGATAATAGTCGAATTTGATTGGCTGGTACGAAAACTTTAAAACACAACAATGACTCCAAATATTACTGTTAACAAAAATAATGACCTAGGAATCATTGCACATGGGATATAATGACCCTGGTAATTATAATTAATAAACGCTTAATAATGACCTCTTAATCAAAAAAATCCTCTTTGAGTGAAGTTAATGCATAAAATGATAATTATTCGAGAAAAATAACATGTTTTTAAAGGTGTGCATGGTCTGTTTTGCATTACCATACAGAATACGGTAAAATTATATCCTTAATTAAACGGTTTACTCATTTCGAAATACCGTTACAATTCAGTTCAATTGAATGTAGAAGCGGCTCTTTAAAAAGTTGAATTCTGTGTTAGATTTTGACTGTGTGGAGGAAACGTAATCGTTAGTTATGACAAGACATGTCGCTATCAACCATATATTGTTTTATTCAGTAAACCATGGTGCAAAAACTTACACGACTTGCAGACGTCAGTGTAAACAACTTCACTATACGCAGTATTGCGAATCCCGATTCCGTTAAAAGAAAGAATAGATAACAGTTATAGATTCATACTTTTCAATATATATCGGTATAATAAAACAATTCATTACCCTATTTGAGTTCAACAAGGTGAAATAAGGACCTCGACCTGG